GATAAATTGTGCACTTGCCACCTCTTTATTGCATGGTGGATCTCCATGCACATCACCTCACTCCCTCTCACTTCTCCCTTCTTCTTCTTTGCCGAAACACCTCACACCACCCTCATTCTCTCAAAAATCTTTCAAGAAAACTCTCTCAAACACTCAAGAACATCCTCCTTCCCTCCATCCAAATTTTCGAGACTTCTAAGTGTTTCAAGAAGATCTTCACCAAAGATCATCAATCTTAGGTAAGTCATCACACATCCAAGCTAAGTAACTTTATTATTATGCTAGATCACTCATTCTAAACATTGTTTGTGATTATACTGTTAGAAAACCCCTAAGTTCAAGATCTACTTAAGGAAAGCTTGCTAGGGCTGAAACCTCCATCTTTTCTTCACCAAACCGAGAACAAACAAGCAAGGTGAGTTCATACCCCCTTGTTTTCGGTTTTTACATGCTTTTGGGGGGAGAATACAAGTATTTATGTGTAGATCTATGTATTTATGCATGTTATGTGTGATTTTCTTGGCTTTTGTTGTGTTTGTGTGATAAACTCGATGGATCTATAAAACTCTAACAAAAATAAGTGAGATTCACAAACAAAAACACTCTAGTCACCATACTACAAAGTAAAGGTGAATTACATGCCTAAGTTGTGAAAAATGAAACACAAAACTTGTATAAGGATCATTTTTGACAAATAAGCAAAATATTGGGACAAAAGTGATACCTACGGTTTTATAAGGACCAAAAGGGTCACATTTGCTCAAAAATGAGTTTTTATAACAATCATACTTTCCAAAGGGTCAAAAGTTTAAAATTGTGCATTTTGGGCCTTAATGTGGGCTTTACGGCTTTTTGGGCCCAAATTGCAAAAATAACAATTTTTATGGATCAAAATGTTATGAAATAAAAACTTGGGCCAAAAATGAAAACCCACGAGATTAGAAGCTGAAAATGACACTTATTTCAAGATTTGGACCAAAAATGTTAATTTTATAAAAATTGGGCCGAAAATGTCATTTTATTCAAATAAGCGCTGAAAATGTAATTTTCTGCAAATGGGCCGAAAATGTCAATATATGTATTTTTGGGCCGATTCCGTAAATTACTAAACATTTGGGGCGAAAATACAAATTTTTATAAATTTATGGGCTAAAATGTTATTTTTAATTAAAATAGACCAAAAATGACATTTTATGTAAAAATAAGCCTTTAAATGTTTAATTTAGTTCTTAAGGGGCCTAAAGTGAAGTTTTTATTAAACACGAGTTCAAATTATAGAATTTTGAAGTAACGAACTAAAAATACCGTTATACTAGATTTTTATAACATTATGGATAAATTCTCTGACTAAGTGAACAATACTGTAACAAACAAACGAAATACAACAACGGTACGAATATCGGGCCTAACACTTCCTATACATGCTTATCGGGCCTTCGTGGTCCGTTTGCATGTTTAATGGGCCCATTATATTCATTACATGTCTATTGGGCCTTAGTGACCCAATTACATGCTTAATGGGCCCTAAATTATCCTTTACATGTTTGTTGGGCCTTAGTGGCTCATTTACATGATAATTGGGCCTGGACTATTCGTTATATGCTTAATGGGCCTTAAGTGTCCTTTTTGCATATCTAACAAGCCTTGAAAACAATTTACACGCCTAATGGGCCGTAATTGTCTCTTTTTCATGTTTGTTGGGCTTTACCATTTCACATTCATATATCATCTGGTGTTTGTAGAACTAAATACATATAACGTTATACATATTCATGTGGAAACATTTGGGATCTAGTGGGACTTGTCGGTTGACATCACTGAGTGTATGGTCGTAGCCTGTAGTTATAATCAGAGTCTCCTGGAGGGAGAGCGAAAGTTTGTGTATAGATCTATACGGGGGTGACTCCCCCACACCTGAGCTGTTCGCTACAGTTAGACTAGGCCAGTCTAGGGTGACAAAACCTTAATCAAATACCGGCGTTTGGAAAATGCCAAGGCAGGCAATTTAGTCATTATCATGCATGATTATAACGGCTCACATAGAGATCCAATATCATCTTAACATTTCGGAAATCAAACTCTTCAATCGTGTCGATACAGAACAATTTATACAATAATGCAAGAACTATAACACTTTTATAAATCAGAAAATATTGGATTTTCTGGGGAAACACTATTAATCATTACCTATTTCTTATAACAAATATAATTCAAGGAATTTGGATCTTTCATTTATACATGATTTTACAATAAAAATCACACATACATTTATACTTAATAATTACATCTTTTTCAGAAAATTTTACAGAAAATATCGGATTTTCTGGGTTATGCGCCCAATACAAATTTTTTCAATCAAATATGCTTATGAACTCACCAACATTATATATGTTGACCGTTTTCAAAATAACTTGTATTCTCAGGTAATCGATAAGCTGAAGATCCGTCAAGAGTATTTTGGGATTTCTTTTATGCAAATGTCAATTATCGTACAATTTATGCTTTTGAATTATGTAATGTAAAACAATGCACTTGATATGAACAATGCCAGTTGTATTATGTAATGTTGGTGACGATTGTGTTATGTTTCATGTATATTCATTGTGATGATATTTCAATTTATAGTCACACGAGCCCTCGGACGTTTCCGTCGTCTGGTTCGGGGGTGTGACAATACATAATGAAGAACATGGAATGTGGATGTGGAGCTGAGGCTATAATAAGAACATCACGTACTACCAATAACCCAGGAAGGCCCTTTTATGCATGTCCCAAAAAGGTAATTTACCATTTATTCAATTTCTGATGTTAACCCTAGTTTTTTAAGATGTATTAATTCAAGCAAATAGTTGGAATCAGGATGCTCGTTCAGGTTTTATAGCTTGGGTTGATGAAATGCAGTGCAACAATGAAGGTGTGATCATAACTGGGTTGTTTAGGTCGAACAAAAAGCTTCAATCTGAGGTCTTTAAGTTGAAGGTTTACCTAATATGTAGTTGGATATTTTTTTTGTGTTTAATCATGTACAAGTTGTAATGAAGGTCATTTGGGTTTAACTTGTAATGTACTTTGTTTTGGTTTGTATGTTTAACTTGTAATGTACTTTGTTGTGTTTTGTATGAACAAATCATGAACAAGCAAATTATTGGACCACTTGTTATTTAACTTGTAATGTACTTTGTTTTGTTTTGTATGTTGATCCTGATTTTACTAGGACCAC